AGTAGAGACAGGGTTTCACCATATGGGCCAGGCTGATTTCGAACTCCTGACCTTGTGATCTGCCCACCTGGGCCTCTCAAAGTGCTGGGATTACAGGCATGAGCCACTGAGCTCGGCCTAATTTTTGTATTTTTAGTAGAGACAGGGTTTCACCATGTTGGCCAGGCTGGTCTTGAACTCCTGACTTCAAGTGATCTACCTGCCTCAGCCTCTCAAAGTTCTGGGATTCCAAGTGTGAGCCGCTGCGCCTGGCTTATAACCAGATGTACTCTTGTGCCCAGACTTTGATGTGATTTTTGCATGCACTAAATCTCCACTACCTGGATATAAGCTATGACCTGAAACGACGTTCTGGAGCATTCTGACAAAACCTCTCTCAAAGACTTCTCCTGGCCTGTACTCGTCAGCCTCCCGGCTTCAGTAAGACTTCTGAATAAAATTAACTTTGTTTAAAAGCTTGGGCTTTTAAACAAAGGCACAATGGCTTAGGCCTGTAATCCTAGCAACTTAGGGAGGCTGAGGAGAGAGAGTCCCTTGAGACCAGTTGGGGCAACAAAGTGAAACCCCGTCTCTACAAAAAAATTAGCTGGGCACATGGCTGGGCGCGGTGGCCCGCGCCTGTAATCCCGGCACTTTGGGAGGTCAAGGCAGGTGAACCTGAGGTTGGGAGTTCGAGACCAGCCTGACCAACATGGAGAAACCCCGTCTCTACGAAAAATACAAAATTAGCTGGGTGTGGTGGTGCATGCCTGTAATCCCGGCTACTCCAGAGGCTGAGGCAGGAGAATCACTTGAACCAGGGAGGTGGAGGTTGTCGTGAGCTGAGATTGCACCATTGCACTCCGGCCTGGGCAACAAGAGGGAAGCTTTGTCTTAAAAAAAAAAATTAGCTGGACATGGTGGCAAGGGCCTGTGGTCCCAGCCACCTGGGAGGCTGAGCTGGGAGGACTGCTTGGGCACTGAGAGGTCAAGGCTTCAGTGAGCCCTGATCACACCACACCAGCCCAGGTGACAGAGTGAGACCCTGTCTCAAAAGAAGAAAGACAAAAAAAGGCTTGATGCTTTTCTTGCACGGATACTGGTGTGACAGATGGCATGGGCCGGCACGTTCTTCCTAACAGGGCCTGTCCCTGCTGCACTTGAGCTGACTCAGGAAGGGGCAGAACCCTGAAACTGAATCCTGGGATGTGCCAGCCTGGACTCGTGGAACCGTGGACTGGGAGCGTGGTCGGACACCGGCCTGTTGCACACTCTGGACAGAGGATTAGCGGGCACGCCCATTACTGGAGGGAGAGGCCTGCGTCCTCACCATGCACCCGCCGGCAGCTTCTGGCAGTTTCTAACGGCTTCCTCCAGTGCCCCCAGCTCCACCAGATGGGTTAACTCTGCAATGTGAAGAAGGGCAGGGAACAGCTTTGGAAAAGGCAGTCGGTAGCTTGCTGAAGTCTCAAAGATAGCAGGAGACGGAAGAGGGTTCGAACCCAGAAGCTGACTGGGTCTAGAGCCTTTGAGCCACCAGGGGGCATGGGCCGGGTCCTCTCCTTCCATTTTCCCCGTGCTGACGGGCTGGGAATCCTCTAGCGCGCCTTCCCTCTCTCCTGAACCTCCACGAGCGCAGCAGCTTCCAGTGCAGAGGGCTGGGATGCTGAGAGCTCGCCCAGGACCCCCACCAGCGCTCGGTGCCCGCGGCTGCCGCTGTCCTGGCACAAGGGGCTGGGCCCTGCGCGGAGCTGGCGCTAGCAGGTATTAACTAGCCACTTCCTTTAATTCCATAAGACCTTTCCACCCAGGACTGCTGGAGAGGCAGCAGCAGAATCTCCTCCATCTGCCTGGCCAGCTGGGCCAGGAGGGAGGCCTGGAACCACCCAGAGACAGCTTGTCCAACTTGCGGCTTGCATGCGGCCCAACACAAATTGTAAACTTTTAAAAAACGTGAGCATACAACTAACAAAGGATGTGAAGGAACTCTTCAAAGAGAACTACAAATCACTGCTCAAGGAAATAAGGGAGGACACAAGCAGATGGAAAAACATTCCATGCTCATGGTTAGGAAGAATCAATATCTCGAAAATGGCCATACTGCCCAAAGTAATTTGTACATTCAACACTATCCTCATCAAGCTACCATCAACCTTCTTCATGTAACTGGAAAAAACCACTTTAAACTTCATATGGAACCAAAAGACAGCCTGTATAGCCAAGAAAATCTTAAGCAAAAAGAACAAAGCTGGAGGCGTCATGCTACGTGACTTCAAACTATACTACAAGGCGACAGTAATCAAACAGCATGGTACTGGTACCAAAACAGAGCTATAGACTAATGGAACAGAACAGAGGCTTTGGAAGTAATGCCATACATCTAAAACCATCCGATATTTGACAAACCTGACAAAAACAAGCACTGGGGAAAGGATTCCCTGTTTAATAAATGGTGTTGAGCAAACTGGTTAGCCATGGGCAGAAAGCTGAAACTAGACCGCTTCCTTACACTAAAATTAACTCCAGGTGGATTAAAGGTTTAAACACAAGACCTAACACCATAAAAACCCTAGAAGAAAACCTAGACAAAATCATTCAGGACATAGGTGTAGGCAAGGACTTCATGACTAAAACACCAAAAGCAATGGCAACAAAGACCAAAATAGACAAATGGGATCTAATTAAACTTAAGAGCTTCTGCACAGCAAAAGAAACAATCATTAGAGTTAACCGGCCACCAACAGAATGGGAAAAAATTTTTGCAATCTACCCATCTGACAAAGGACTTACATCCAAAATCTACAAAGAACCAAAGCAGATTTACAAGAAAAAAAAAACAAAACCATTCAAAAGTGGATGAAGGATATGAACAGACACTTTTCAAAAGAAGAGATTTATGAGGCCAACGAACATATGAAAAAATGCTCATCATCACTGGTCATTAGAGAAATGCAAATCAAAACCACATTGAGATACCATCTCACGCCAGTTAGAATGGCGATCATTAAAAAA